GGGGGGGGGGCAAAGGAAGCAGAGAAGTAATCAATTTCAAATGAGTTTTGTAATGCTGTTTATATCAGTCGCAGGGGATGCGTTCAAGTGATGATATCTGAAAAGCTGGTGGAGGTGAAACTGCTTTTAGCTTTAAAGACGGAACGAGAACTATTCTGTTTAATAATCAAAGTAAAAGGTCTTAAACTGACTGTTACTCTTGAATTAAGCTGTCAGTAAACAAACTTGCATATATTCAGGGTCTTGCATTATGTATTTCTACGAGAAATTGCGATTTAACTATTTACATACATTTAATATCAGATTACCATAATTACATTAACAACAAAAAGGCAGCCGTCACCACAAATGATTTGGTCAACATTACTACTCATCAACCTTTGAAAAATAGTGCATTTGATGTACATTTCATTTAACTTGACTTATAATTCTAAATTAAAAAAAACATTAAAAAAAAGAAAGCGTCCCACAGCAGGGAGTGAATCTGGATTACAGTTAAAGAAAGTTATTACAATGATCATTTTATTCAAATTATCTCACTTAAGTCATTTTTGGAAGGTAAAATTGCTCATGAAATGAAACATTAACTGCCCCGCCTACTTTTAACGATAGTGACTTGTTTAGATTTTGTCTAGTTGGACAAAGGGAACCAAAAAATGTTTTGTTTTTTCCACTCAATCCCAACTGTAACAGAATGTCACAGTTCAGGTAAGAATTTGCAAATTTACATTTAAAAGCCTCTTTAGATAATTAAAGTGCCATTTGACCTGACTTATCAAGACCACTGAAAGGTATGATTACAAACATCTTTATTCATTTAGATTCCCATTAGCCACCGCAACAGCAGGCGCTAACATATGGAACTATTATATTACAATGTGCCTGGAAACATCACCTCCACAGAAGACGAAACAAGCAAACTGTCAAACTGAGATCAAACAACTCAAACTTCTCCCACCAGTGGACACTATCATCTGTCAGCTGTGTTTGCAGAGGCTGACAGAGTGTAGCCTCAGGAAAGGCAGACTGAGTTCACCTAGGTAAGAGCTACTAAAATCCTCCGCCCACTGTACAGTGGGCGCGCAGGATTGAGGAGTGTATATAAAATAAAGGTGGAGACTGCCACACAGCTTGGCAGTTATTTGACTTTAATAATACCTAAGATATTCTCTATTAAAAATTGCACCTGTAAGGCATCAGACTGCAGAGCAACAAAGCAAAACACATGGAGGCTGCTGCATCTGTCATCACCTTTACTTCTCTTACGCTGACACTCTGAGGCCCCCCGTGGGCAGTGATGGGACGGTTGTAATGATTCAGGAGCGGTAACGTACCAGCCTCAAGCAGCATGCGTACAGCGCGTGGGTCGTCGGCCAGCGTAGCGTAGTGAAGCGCTGTGCAGCCACGGAAACCAGCCCTGCTGCTCAGCCTGCTGCTGAACTCGTCCTCTCTGGACACCAAAACTGCAGAGAGCGGACACGAGGAGACAGAGGAGGAAGAACAATTAGAACCACAAGCTGCTTTTTCTGTGCAGAACGTGCACAGGTTGGCTCCCAAAATACAATAAAATAAAAACAAAACCAAAAAGTCTGCTGGGAAAAAAATCACTCATTTGCTGCTAAATTTTAATTTTAAATACTTCTCTACACCAATATTAAAGTTAAAAAAAAAAGAAAAGACAGTCTTAGTGAATTTAGAGTTAAGAGGAATTTAAGGAAATGCACTAATTCCTCAAAGCTGCAAATAGGATAGTTATTACATGAAGCTGAACACCGTATACTCCCTGGACCTGAAAAAGATATTACAATGAATAACAAACTACTTTGGCTTTAAACGTTACAGCATCGAAATCCGGGGGAGCTTCCTATAATCTAACCACAGACAATGGAAGACTCCAGAAAGTGCAACGAAGACAACATTGCTTTTATAAAATTATCTTTCTTGTTTCCAGCTTTGGAATAGTTGTTCATTTGAGCAGATTTAAGCTTAACTGTCCGACACGATAGCAATAATGCGAGTTGTGTTTTAGGGTCTCTCTTGCTTTGCTCCTTACTAATAATGGAGATACTCTATCATTCTCTCCTTACTTCTTTTTCATAACAGCACTCATCTCGTGCCACTCCTTCATCATCCATTTTTATTTTTTCTTCCCGCCTCCTTCCTCTCCTCCTCGGTGTCCATCAATTCCTTTCATCGCTTGCACCCTCTTTCTCCCTCCCCGCTCTCTCTATCCCAGTAACTTTGTCTCATCCATTTCCTGACTTCCTCTCCCTCCCTCATCATCCTACCCATTTCCTTCAATCCCTCCCTCTCTCCATCACTCCCTCAAACATCCGCATCTTCTTCCTTCTCCTCCATCTCTAGACGTCTTTTTTTCAGAGCATCCCTCTTTTCCTTCTCCCTTGCTTCATCAGTCTTTCCCTCCCTCTATCTATCCCACTCTTTTTCTCTAGCTCTCTGCAGTGTGTGTGCGTGTGTGTGTGTGTGTGTGAGAGACAAGGCGGGATAATCATAGCTAACCCAATAAAGCGTCGCACAGGCCCCCCTAGCCCATCCATCAGTGTGCGTCTGGGAAACGCTTCCCCACGCTACGCCGGCCCCACGCGGACCCAAACCTGACAGCCATATAAATGTCTGCAATATACATATCCCATATAAATATGTCTGCAGAAACCCAACACAGACTGGAGGGGTGGGGGGGTAAAGAGTGTGTGTGTGTGTGTGTGTGTGTGTGTGTGTGTGTGTGTGTGTGTGTGTGTGTGTGTGTGTGTGTGTACAGCTCAGAAGAAAAGCAAATAAAAAAAAATACAAAAGAAAAAGAAAAAACACCACTTGTCAGAGGACAAATAAAACAAATAATGCGCAAAGAATCAAACATGTACATAAATGCAAATTTTTATGCAAATTATACTCATAATACTTGGTTTACACGCTTTGGGTTCATATGTGTAATATAACAACTCTGCTCTCCGTTTCCCACCCCCCTCCTCACCTTCCAGTGAGTGGATCCCTTTCTCCCGTGATGTGTCGTAAACATTGTTGAAGTGATCACCGGCATTTGGGTCGGCACCAGCTTCAAGTAAGACTTTCACCACGCTGAAAAGCAACAAAACACAGAGGCACACGTTTAAAAACACGTCCGCACACCCAGAACCTTGTATTAAATAAACGCAGACATGCACACAGATGAGCTTTAACACCATAATATTTCAGTGTTCATGCGGTGGATGCCAGTTTTTCTTGGCTTGTTGTTGTCCGTATAATTATTTCCACATTAGGAGGATGACAAATTTTAAAATAGGTTTTCCTTTCTTTGGGAAGTCTCCCTCTCTCTTTCTCAAAGAGTAATAATGCGCCTTTGGGTTCAGATGTCTGATCAACACTTTCATAGATTTTATGGACTGTCTCTTTTTCATAGGAACATCTGGGACAATCAAAGCAAGTAGTGCCTAAATCAAGACAAAGACTAGGGGGTCAGTGATGTGTATAAAATTCATCTGTCAGAATGTGTGGTGTTTTTTTTTTCTTTTATTATTGTCACGTGTTTTAACTTTATATTTGGTACCAATAAAGGTTGAAGATTGAGCTGTCAGGAAGGAGGGAAAGAGGAGGTTTGTGGATGCAGTGAGGAAGACATGTAGAGGATGGTAGGTGTTACACAAGAGAGCAAGGGACAGGGTGAGATGGAGGCAGATGATATCCTGTGACGACTCCTAAAGTGTGGAGGAGAAGAAGGAGAATAAGGAGGAGGCAGAGGAGGAGGACAAGGAGGTGGGAGAGGAAATGGAGGAGAAGAAGGCTGCGGGAGTACAGGATGAGGAGAGGAAGCCAAAAGGAAGAGAAGAAGAAGGTGGGGGAGAAAAAAAGGGAGAGGAAAAGCAGGCGGAAGTCAAGCAGGACACGGCCAACGAACAAGGAGCCAGAGGAGATGAAGAAGGTGAAGGACAAAAAGGAGAAGAAGGCGGCAATATAGGAGGAGGAACCAAAAAGAAGGAAAAGGCAGAATTGGAAGAGGAGGAGAGAAAAAAAAGAAGGGAGGCAGAGGAGGAGAAGGTGGAGAAGAAGAAGTCAGCCAGTAGAGAAGGAGATGAACGCGGCATTTAAGGAGGAAGTAGAAGAGAAAGAGGACAAAGATGAGGAAAAAGGAGGAGGAACAAGGCAAAGAACAGTCTGATACTCTCAGAGCTATTAAAGAGACAGTTACCTCTACATGAAGTGTGGGACGCCCTTCATCTCACTGTGTGTGATGTACTAGAATTAGATCTTTCTGTTTGCTAAAAACATGTGGAGATAAATTTGCATCAGCACATACAGACTCACAAGGTGGCATCACAGGAGGAACACTCTTGTGACGAGCTCCATCCAAAAAGTGTGCAAGCGTTGCCTTGAAGTGGTATTTATTGCTTTGCAGCAGCTTGTATGTTTCCTCTTATTTGGTGGATGTCAAAGTGTTTCTGAATCGGCAGCGTCACGCATGTAACCAATGACATGTTAACAAGCCCGCACACATATCTTATCAGCTGCTGCAGTTGCAACACTTGCCACTGACCACAATATCTGTTAATTAAATGTTTTGTTACTCATGAACAGAGCTCTGCTTCTGTGGCATCACCAAATATAACCTTGACCTTTACACAAAGTTTCCTCACGGTTCATAAACAGATCACGCGCAAATATCCAATTCCTCGACTGCCTGTGACACTTTCGCCTGATTCACACCAGTCTATTCTGTCTCGTTATGGTGGATACACCCCACTAGTCACTTCCTTCTATCTCTCCTTCATTACACATTTGTCGGCCTCGTAACATGTACATATGTGCACACTGAAGGGGGCAGGGGTCGGACCCCATTTCCGGCACCGTTGGGGGAGTGTAACCGAGTGGGTGTTCGTGTGTAGGCCTTCATTGGAGCGTACCGCCTTATAGAACAAACAGGAGTACCTCGGCAACACCACTCACTGTGACCCGTCAGATGTTTCAGGTCTCCCTGTCTGCAGGACACATTATTGCATAAACCCACACTTAATCCACTGTGAAGGCAAGCAGTAGCTTTCACATTGAGACACAGATGAGCACAAATGTACACACAAAAACTAGCCAGCTAGTCGGTGAACACAGGGAGACAGAGAGAGAGGCGGTGGCCGAAACATGAACCCTGCTGGTACGCTGCTGATGCTTCTGCCATTAAACCTGTGACCACGTAATGTGGCCTGAGAGGGAGAGATGGATCGCTTACAGCTAAATGGTTGTGGCAGTGGCCTGAAAGGGCTTAAATAGAGTAAAATGACCATTCATAGGAGGATGAGGTGGAGCTGACTATGTAACAGGCTGAAGCCCTGCTAGGAGAACCTGTGCTCTTAAAATGAGACTGGACGAGTGAAACTAACTCTTATATAAGATCAGTTGAAATTAAATATCTTATTTATTTGTGGCATTATAAACAAAAGTACAGGTTTTTAAAAATATATATATTTAGCAGAAATTTAGAAGCAGATATTGATTAAAATATAAAAGGCTGCATCTCTGACAACAGACTGAAGTACAGCACAAGTCACTATATTTATTTGACCAGCAGGCTTACTTAACCCACTATTAGATATAAGTAAGAGGAGCACATCATTTGAGAAGCAGCGGCATGCAAATATTCAGCATGGAATATGAACATTTACAAACCTTTTAGTTAAAAACATAAAGGTTGAAAGTCTATTTTCCATCATTAGTTTTTGTGCATTGCTATGGGAGAGCGAGGCTGAGAACATTCTGGCCAGGTCTTTGTGTCTGACCTTGCTGAGGGGGGTATAAAGGACAATCAGAAGGGTTGGTGGTGGTGGTGGTGGTGTCGGTGGGGGTGGGACCCCCTATTGTTACTGTATCACTGTGGAGGGGTGGGGTATGACCCACAGAGGGTTTCCCCTTCACCCTTGCAAGCACTTCTACAAACACGTCGATGCTTCCTGTGAGACGCGTACAGAAATGCACAAACTCAAACTGAGGTTGGTCACACGAGGCTGGGCAGGACTGACTGAAGGAATGGGATGGTCTGAAAAGAGTTAATGGCATAAGAAAGGTAAACACGGAGAGATAAAAAAGGAGGAAAACTCCAAAGAAGAGGAGGAGAAAGGAGGAGGAGGACTGGATGAAAGGAGGGAGAGTAGCTAAAAAGATGAAAGAAAGGGAGATTTAATTACACAGGACGGTACTAAAACTAATGAGCTTTTAAAAACAGTTTATAGTTTTACTAATCAACTGATGATCAAGTGACTAACTTTATTTGGGAGGAGAGTTGCAGCACTAATTTGAGGCCTAACTGAAGGCATCCAGAGGTGGTTAATTAAGATTAATTAGATTAAGCTCCCTTTTCAACAGAAATGGACAAAAAGTTACAGTTTACAGACTTTCTGATACAGTCCAATATGTACAGAAACAAAACTAATATCCACAATTATTACAGAATTATTTTAATTGTGTAATAATTGTGGATAAAACAAGAAAAATGTTTTATGCCCCCAAACCTTTCTGTATGACTGAGCCATCTGGTTATATCCTGATGTTTTTATTGCTCGTGTTCTTCTCAAACAAATATAAAGGATTCATCCAGGTTATCTTTTTATTGTCCCCTTTACAGAGATCCTTGAGCTAATGACTACCTTTCTGCTCCTTAAGCAAACAGGGTGTCGGCATCTTGCTCGGACACTTGAAAATCCATTTATGGCATCATCTCCATGCTACACCATTTTTCTTTCCCATTACTCTCTATGCAACACTCTAGAGCTGACAAATTTATAACTGTAGCCTTGCTTCACCAGCAGGTGATCGGTGTCTCCGCAGAGGGATGGTGTTAGTTTCCAATCCGGCCCTGGAGGGAAGACAGGAAGCAGACACTTCCACCTCCGTTGCGCAATAAAAGACACCTGAGCCAAACTGACCATCCATGTCTGCGACCACCTGGCCCAGACATTGGACCTCACCTGACCCCACCTCACCCGGTGTCCACCTGGGGTCAGAAAGATGCTGGAAAGCGAGGTTCACTGTACCTCTAATTTTTTCTTTCCTTTTTTAAATGTACCCGATTCTTTACGATATGATTATTTAGTCAGGAAATAGTGGACTCTAGAGGCTGGTATCTAAAGCATTTACCGAGACTTATTATTCACTTTAAAAACAACTTAAGTGTTATGTTTTCCACTTCAGGTTTAACCACTTAATCATTTCATAGTAGAAAAGAAGATGGCAATCTTCTTATTTACAGCTATTTTATTACCAAAACCCAAGAGAAGAACGTATGTACACATATTGAAAATAGTAACATGAAAATGTTATAGAGTATAGTATAGAGGAATATCCTGAAAACGTGCCATTAATTATATTTTAATACTATATTATATTATTTGCGAATACAGTCGTAATATAATGACAGCGTAAGGAGATCTTAATAACAAACCCCATATGTGTTATCTGAACCCGACTACCTACCATTACGATCATGATGGCCAAATGATTATATTTCATTAGGCCCTGCTGAGTCCAGCTAATCTTGGTCTCAAATCTATAATCCCACTTAAATGCCTTCTCTCCCCTGCCAGGTTATTCTCTCCCGTTCCTTCACCCCTGTTCTTCCCTTCGATTCCGTCGCCCTCCCTCCCATCGAGTCACTCGGCCGACAGGTCGGAACGGTCAACAGGCGTTATACTTGGCTGAGCGCTCATTGTGCACGTGAATGCCGTGAGGGAGGGATGGAGGGAGAGAAAGAGCGATGGAGATGGGCATTGTGTGTTAAAGAGTGCAAACAGAGAGCCAGGCCCTGCGCATCCCTGATTTAGCCCTACATCAAAGCTAAGCAAACACACGCCCCCTCCACCCACCACCACAAATGTCTCACCCTTAATTCTTACACACCCACACCCCCCTCTGCTCCACCCCTGATTCCCCTCACGCAGCCGCGCCTTGACCTGCCTGGTGGACACTACATCTAGAAACAGCTCCCACTGAAATGTCCTCTTGAAACACAATTATCACTTTTGGCCCAGGAAAATATAAACACAACTGTTTGAGAGAGACGGGCAGAATAATTCAACAGCGAGAGCCACGGTGACACTCTCGCTACAGGCTACACCGCGTTCGTGAGTGATGTTCCCTGTGTTTTCACTTAACGGCTGCAAATAAAGTTGTGTGTGGCTGAGTAATAGGCAGTTGGCCTGTAAGATATTTGGTATGAACTCCCTCGGTCTCCTCGCCCGTGTGTGCATATGTGTGCGCACGTGTTTCTGCGAGTGGACGGTTGTGTGTTTGTGACTGATGTGTGTGAACTGATGTTCTGTCTTCCCTGCAGCAGTGACTGCTCACTGGGGGGCTGGAAGACGGGATTAAACACAGAGGAGTGTCACTGTCTGGCTGAGTTATAGCACTCATAACACACACACACACACACACACACACACACACACACACACACACACACATACACACAACACACACACACACACACACACACACACACACACACACACAAACACACAGACACACACACAGACAACACACACACAGAACAACACACACAACACACACACACACACACACACACACACACACACACACACACACACACGTAGCCAAAAAACACATGACACACACGCACAGACAGACACATATCATTAAAAATAAAAAGGTCCATGGATACGATCACTCGACATACACAACGTTAAAGTCGCAGCTGAAGGATCATGTGACCGTGTTCATCTCTAATCAGCTCCGAGTGATTCATCAAATTCTAATTTCAATTACCATTTTGGCTTCAAACGATTATAAAAAGAAGACAATCAGGATAAAACAATTATAGTGCCCTCGTTTTACTGCCAAATTACTTTTCTGTCGCTCTCGTGATCAATAAATTTCTTCAAGATTTATAAGCGAACATGCTAATATAATGCAAAAGGAAATCAATATAAAACTGAAAGTTGTAACCAATTACACGCGCGCAATTAAGCTTTGTGATCACAGATTTATTCGTTAAGTTTCAATTTGTTGCGACACAAGTTCAAACTTGGAGAAAAAAAAATGCAAGCAAGCAAGAACAGGACTGAAAGTAAGCTCATCTGAAAACATTTTAATATTCAGATTTCACATAAAGGGCCTTAAGAGTGAGAAGCATTAACAAAAAAGTGACCACACAGACCGGGTAAAGAGAGCGAGTGAGAAGGAAAAAAAAAAAGGGCCTGTAAATTGGATTTGGCCCGGCCTCAACCTCGGCCCCTCTCTGTATTCTGTGTGTTCTGGGGGCCAGGAGGCTAATTTAATTTGTTGGACAGAGAAATGGGGGAACGGGTAAAGACCGTCTGTCAGTCTGAAAGCTGCACTTTGCACTTCTGATGACGTACTGTAACAACCAAAGCAGGGACGAGGATGGCATATGCTCGCACTAATGCGGCAGCTGCGCGATACCAAACCCGCTGCTGCATATGTAACGCCTCAGAAGTTTCAAAACACGACTTGTTCGGCGAAGCAGGCGCACACAGACCTGTGCTGTCGATTCATAGCAGCCACCATGAGAGCGGTCCAGCCGAGACGGTGGCGATGATTCGGATCCACCCCCTCTTTTAACAGCCTGATGGGAACAAGAAGCAGAAAGTGGTTTTATTTTTACTTCAGTCTCACCGTTAACAGCCTGTAGCAGAAGCTCCATGTAGTACTGCAATCGATATTGTAGCATTTTCTTTCTTTCTCTCTCTAAAGCACGTACCATGCTGAAGGAACAGAAGTAAGATTAAGTAATGCACACCTAGGGGAAATTATGCAGATCAAAATGAAATCTACAAAACAAGAAATATGGGAGGCAAGCTGCTGCAAGCATAGTCTCTTTTTTGGGGGTACACCAGAATAAATCCAGCATATATCCTGCTTTTATCCAAAGCCTTCTGCACCACTTAATATATCTGCACGTTAAAGCCAGGTGTGTGTTGAGTTTTCTGCCCGAGGCTATAACATCAGGCAGTCCTTATAAGCGTATGTAAGGGATCCGGCTGTCGTCTCTGGTGCTGAGCAGACAGAGTCCCTGTTTACAGTCAACACAGCGGCTTCAGTCTGGTCTGCACTCAGCACTGATGCGCTCAGTCTCCGTTTTCACTGCCTGCTCTGCATGCACAATCAGAGTAAGCCGTAAGAGCTGCAGCTGAACTTTTCTTTCCCCATTTTAAATTTGGACAAACTGAGAAGCTCCTTCGACTTTGAAAAAATACAAAGACTTTGATATGAGAATAATGACATAGCAAGAGTGGATGGAAAAAGCAGAGTGGTTTATTTGATATAAGTGATAAGCTACATGGGACTGGGTCTGTTCTTGAAAGTGTTTACTTTCAAGTATGATTTAAAGGGTTGTTGTTGTTTTGTTTTTAACCAATTTAACAGGCAAATCTGAAGTCATACACTGAAATATTGCTGCCACATTCCTTGAATGCACACCTCACTGGAGGTTTGCCACCTAAAGTTAATTTCTTTCAGCTTCTGAGATTTTCTGCCGTTTTAGTTCTGTTACTGGAAGAAGGGTTGTGTGTCCGCTTCATACCAACCATCAGAGTCTGGTTCCCCCTATAGCGTCCAGGGTGTGGCGTGGTATTTGTCGTCACCAGTTTGTTAACAAACTACATTTTCCAAAGCACTTTGTATCGCTGGCTTTAAAAAACTAGTTTAAAAGTGAAAAATATTGTAACCATGTTTAACCACAATAGTCAAACTACAGCTGCACTGCATGCCACGCTGCGCTCTCTCTCTCTCTAATGTCCTACCCAACAAATGGCTGAACATGCCCTGACATCATTTATATTGAAACATAAAGAAAACATTAGCACCAAATATAAATATCAGTTTTCGATCGTCACACTGTTTTTGTTGTTGTTTTTTTAAAATAACACTACATGGTTGCCATATGGTGCCAACTAAGAATGCATGAATATATATCGGCTAAACATAACAACAAGCATTAAGCATTATTTTAAACACTGCTATCATGCCAAACGCTACCAAGTTCTTAACCATCCATTCTGTGAAAATGGACGCTCTTCATTTCCCTGCTGCCTCTCAGCTGACACACCCTGACACTCTACCACTTCTACAGAGTCGACCAAAGCACTTAACACATCTGTGACCTGCTAACTGGCCGTGTCGCTGCACTCTCACCTTCGCCATCTGCCACATGTGTACAGGTAACCCAAGCATGCAGATGGGGGCATGCATCGATACACACAGGTATGCATGCGCTCAAGTACATGGACCTGGAGACCAATACTCAACAACAGCCGAAACACATGAATTACTATGATTAACATAGGCACAATACAACAACACATCTATCTGAACAGCAACAGCCTCTAAAAGGTTAAAGACTAAGAATTTGATCTGAAGAAGAATAAATTCTCATAATAATGTTCAGGTTTATCTATCGCATACTCCTTTCTCTACCCCGTTAATGTAACACCATCGATGAGATGGATGAGAACGAGCCATTATAGAAGTCTGGCTCTAGTACATGCACCTTCTTTTATGTAGCATACCCATTTCTGCCACCTAACCCTCTGTGTGCAGGACATTGCCAGGACTAAGTTTAGGATCAAGTTCAGAGCAAGTGTTTATATTATTCTAATGTTTCTGTTTTACATTATTCTGAAGTAAAACAAATCTCAGAGAAACACGTTTTTAAAGAGCCTAAAAATCACAGCGAAAAAAAACAAAGAAAAAAAAAAAAAAAAAAAAAAACAAACGAGCAAGACACACTGGCAGCAGGGAGTCTTAAGTGTCCGAGGGCATTTTTATTACAGTAACTTGCCTCCCCGGTTTCCTTCACTGGCATTTTATGCCACTGAAGAAGCGACGGAGGGAAATATTATAATATAAGTGAGGAAGGAGAAGATTAAGCTTCCAAATGAGTAATTCTTGGGTTTATGAAGCATCAAGCCGTGTGCCACATTGGAGGTACGTGGCAACACTGAATGAGACTTTCACATCGGATGCATCTGCAGTTCTTTCTTCATGTTTGCTTTCCATGATGGCAAATTGATTTCTGGGTCACAGCAGGAAAGAAGAAGATATGAGGAAGCATAAGTTAGTGCCAAACATCCACACTGCAAATATTCCCTCAAGAGGAAGACTTTCACACAGAGAGGTGGAGCTCTTCTTCCACCTGCTGGTTACTGATGGGACAACAACTACAGGTGTGCTTTCATAACAGGAGTTAACCGTGGATGTTCTGGAAACTGCCCTATGCACATGATCTATGACTTACACGTGGGTGTAATAATCAAACCAGAGCTCATTTCAGGTCATAAGTGATACTTTTTTTTTTTTTTTTACATTTCTTTTGTAGGAAACCACTCATCCATGCATTCGGTCACATGCCAAAAGTATAGCAAATATAGTAAATAATGAATATTTAGTAAATATTTAGTCCTGGCTGCTTGTTGTTTTAAAGCAATATAGATAAGGTGAAGGCATGGCCTAAGACAAGCAGTTTAACACTTTAAAAAGATAAAAAGATAACACAGTTTGATTATTTCAGTGACAGTGCAGCTGTCAAGAATCCATTCATAAGGAAGGGAAACATGGAGAAAAGGCTCAGCTATGCAAAATTACATAAGAACTGGAAAAAAAAAAATCAGCGTCAGCATGTGTGAGTGAGTGATGAATCTAAATATAATATTTTTCGTTCAAATCTTCATCAGTATGTACAGCAGTGAGTGTATACAGCCATCTGTAAAACTTGGTGTAGTAGGCTCTGACATGAGGCTGCATTGACCTCCCCTGAGCCCAGACCTCAACATTATTGAAGCATCGTGGGATCATGCTGACAGAGAACACAGCAAAAAGGCAAAAACATCCAAAGAAGAGCTTTAAGAGTCCTTCAAGAAGCCGGGAGGACTAATCCTGAAGACTACTTAAAGACATTACAAGAAAGCTGCCTAAGAGAGTTCAGGGTGTGTTGAAGAATAAAGGTGGTCCTAACGCCACCTCCATTCTAGCATTTACAGGTGTGTGAAATATCTAGAGCTAGCATATGTTAGCGTACATTTAAAACACAATGCCTACGTTGAACTCAAGACAAAAGAAGACAAGCAAATATGTTTTTTTTTTTAAAGTGTTCATGTTTGGGTATTACCTGGCTACATCCTGAGCATTATTGGTCCTTGCTGCTTCCAAAAGAGCATCATCTGGTTATTGAAAAAGCAGAGAGAAAACATTAACTACACTAAAGATTTTACTAAATAAAACAAGCTGGGTTTAAAACTAACTCTACAGACCAGTTTATATCATATAACATCGTCCCATCAGTATTTACTATATTATAAAAACAATTAATGAACGGCCGGTCTCTAATCAGTGTCAGCTGATTATAATTAATTATAAGCTTACCTTTGTTATCGGGGTCTTTCTTCAGACAGAAGGCCACGGCCGCAGCAGAGAGGACACCGGCAGAGGCTACTCCTGCCCGCATGGGTCCTCCACCTGTTCCCCTGTCTCCGCCGCTTTCCTCCCAGTACTGGTTGTTGTTACGACCTCTGCTGGCCAGAGCCGCCCAGGAACTGCGGCGATTCTCCAGGTTGGACAGCCATCTAGGGGCGAGGTGGTGGTACTGCATCGATGGTTTCACGCTGTTTCCAGCAGTCTCCTCAGCCAAAATCCCCCTCCTGGAGACCCTGGAAGTGGACACGATGGGGTTGCGCTTGGCCTCCGCCGGAGTCTCGCGGATGCCCTGGCACGCGCCACCGCTGGCGCTGGTCTGAAGCACGCGACTGCACGGTGACAGGCTGCGCGACCTTCGCGCAAATAGCCTGGTGGGAACCGATGATAGCATAGCAATTGACTCACCGAAAACCAAGCTGGTCTGGCTTATGGCGTCAGTCTGGGGGTGACTCCGGAGGACAACAAACTAGGGGCAGCGCCTTAACTCAGGTGTAACAGTGGTTAGAGCTCAGGTCAGGGGACCAAGTTCGTAACATCGGGACGTAAATAACCGTTTCAGCTCGTCGTGGCGTGGATGTCACTAGAAGCCGCGGCGCATTCTGGGAAATGTCGTTTACTTAAACGTCATTGATTATGACGTAGTATGCATCAGTTGGTGTACGTTTGCTTTAAAACATGGGTGTTGTAACAGTCAGGGAGACTTTTAAATGGTAAATGGCCTGTATTTGTATAGCGCTGTACTTAGTCCCTAAGGACCCCAAAGCGCTTTACACTACATTCAGTCATCCAACCATTCACACACACATTCACACACTGGTGATGGCAGCTACATTGTAGCCACAGCTGCCCTGGGGCGCACTGACAGAGGCGAGGCTTTTAAAAGGGTTTCCATGGCACAACATTAACACGAAACTATAAAAATTAGCATCGGAGCTGTCTCGGCTTTATTTTCTTTTTTTATAAACTTGCCTCAAAAAGCTATCCGTCCTGATTAACACCTAGAGCAGCGGTCCCCAACCTTTTTTGCGCCACGGACTGAGCCTTTAAGGTTACATGGATGAATACAACAAAATAAAATGCTACGATCAAGACAAAAACTGGTATTTTGTAAAAAAAAAAAAAAAAAAAATGATGAACGCGAATTCACTGGGTGATTGTGTACCTTTATTAGCAGCATCCTCCTGAAAATGCGCCAACAACATTGAGAGTAATATCCTTAATGCTCTCTGGTCTCTATGGTAACGCGTAAACGTATGCATCAGTAGTATGCAACGTTTCTTTCAAAAAACGCCACAAAATTAAAAAGACCCAGGGAAACCGAGTTAATGATAGAAACCCTGAAAACCATAAACTTCACACGTGGGTCTCAACGGGCCCGGTACCGGTCCGAGGCTTGGGGACCGATGGAATACACGAAGGACTGGGTAAAGAAGAAAACTGTGGCTAAGGGGAGAGGGCAGCTGTTGCTAGCTAAATCCATTTTCCTTCAGTCACAGTGTTGTGATTTTTTTTCCCCCAACCCATGCTAGAATTGTTTTTCAAGGCTGCGACAGAAATATGTGAAATGCTTGCAATAACAGGCCATTTTTTTCTTTCTCCAACACCAAATCCTGAGAAACATTTGCAACTATATGGCACTAAGTGTCCTGCACTTAAACATTCATTTAATATCACGTACACATATACACATACTGTCCCTCAAGAAGACACTGAGAAAAAATAAAGAATAACATTGAGACTGTAACTTTGCCATAAGTCATTGTTGATTTTGTCTTCACTCTCCATCCCCTGCCAAGCTGCACCTGTGATTCTGGGGCTGCTCGCTGATGAGCTGACAGATACGATCTTTTCTTATCCTCTGCATCCTTACCCTATCACCTCTGCATCCCACAGGGCGCCAGCCTGCCCTGTTGAAACACTATTTTCAGTCAGGTAGCTGTGGCTATTAAAGTGAACAAGAGCCGCCCAGATATTCTGCAACAGGCAAAACTGGAAATTTTCACCCTGGAGCAGCTGAGAAGGTTGGATCCAGATGCCGCCAACATTGTTCAATGGAACGGCTTTTTCCACGACGGAGAGTGGGTTTGCTTAAAGTTCGAACTCCTAGAGCAATGCCTGTGGAACTACATAGGGGACCCGAATAACCGGCGTCTCCCCATAAGCGAAGTCAGGCCAATTTTAGGTCAACTCACAAATGCTCTGTCCCACCTGGGTTCTTTGGGAATAGTGCACGCTGACCTCAAACCTGGAAACATCATGGTTGTAAATCGCTATGAGTCTCCAGTCAAAGTCAGACTTATAGACTTTGGCCTCGCATGTCCTGCGTCTGCAGTGATGCCTGGTGACCGTGTGGGGACGGTTGGTTATAGTGCACCTGAGGTTATGCTTGGCCTTCCTTATAACGAAGCATGTGACATGTGGTCTCTGGGGCTGGTGGCTGTGGAGCTTGTTACAGGGGTGCCACTCTACCCTGGAAAAAAATATTATGATGTTTTGAAATTCATCATAGAGACTCAGGGTCAGCCACCAGATCATGTTCTCGATCCTGGCGTGTACACTGAAGACTATTTCACAAAAGACAACTACAACTACAACCAACAGCGCTGGACATTTAAGACCGCCCAACAATTTAAATACGAGACAGGATATGAATCTTTGGAGACAAGATACATAAAACTTAAACGTCTGGATGACCTCGAACAAATAATGATGTTTAGACGAGGACCGAAGATGGCCAACGCTTTTTGTCAGCCTAATTAAAGAGATGTTGGCCTTGGATGCACACCAGCGGATAACACCCTCTCAGGTTCTCGGCATCCCTTTTTCAACCCTGGCCTCTCCAACAGGTTCCCAAGTATCAACACTGAAAAACCATACAGAGTCAATCTCCAGCATGGCATCTTCCACCCTGGACAAAAGTGATAAAAACACAAACTGGGGTTGGAAAAGGATATTAACAGCAAATTACACTGGAAATATTAATTAAGCTGCTCCAATAATTATCACTTTGGCTTTTTTTTTTTTTAATTTTCACTCCCCCCACCCCAACCAGTCGTGGCAGAGGCTGTCCCTTCCTGAGCCTGGTTCTGTCGAAGGTTTCTTCCTTTTTAAAGGGAGTTTTTCCTTCCCACTGTCGCTAAATGCTTGCTCATAGGGAATCTTCTGATTGCTGGGGTGGCCAAAACTCTAGGGGAACTAGCAATTCCTGTGAAAAAAAAAGCCTACCAATATTCAAAGCAGAGCAGCGGACACCTTACCATCACATCAGTCCTTTAATCCAACCTAAAACACCATGTTTACAGAAATAAATTCCATACAAATTGGAAATAAATTGTTGTTTTTGATTGTTTATAAATATATAGTGCTACCCTTCAGCCTCCTAGTAGACATACCTGTGTTATGAATGTGAAACTCCTCTGATTTTCAGAAAAGTTGACCTCTGACCTTGAAGTCAAGGTCACTGAGATTTAAGCTTCACAGAGATTTTCAGTAGATGCAACCATGGTATTGACTTGAAAATTCCACACTATCACAAGACTTAGGTGCCCACAGCACCTCGCCCTATACCAAAGATTAAGAGGTGTTTTTTTCTAGGTTTTTATAAAGATTACAAAACACAAATAACAAAAATGTCAACGCTATTTTGATGTTGTCTAATGTAGTGCAAAAAAACAAAACAAACCCAAAAACGAATAAATAAAATAAATATATATTACATACATATATATATGTATATACTACATACTATAAAACATTTTAGTGGTCCACAATGGGGTCAATGAACAGAATGAAGGAAGTGAGTCATTTTTATATGACAATGGTGTGAAAAATCATTTTTTTGTATTTGTTTGTCACACTTAAACATTTCAGATCATCAAACAATTAATTTTTTTTAATGTATAAAGAAAAATCCTTTAACTGTCCAGTTTTCTTGATGTTATGATGCTTCTACCACTGGTTTGTCATTTGTCAAATCCTCACTTTGGCCACTTTTGGCCAGTTTTTATCTTAAACTACTGGATAACAGCTCTTTTCTAATAACATTGAAGATGCTGTTTAACTGCTTATAAGCAGTAGTGCCCTACTAATTAAAGACTTGTTACTTATAGAGGTACTTTATTAATAAGAATTTAAAAGATATATACATAAAAAAATACAACTTACTTCTCTTTTAAGACCCGAGCAACCTGTCAATGATGATCGCTGGTGCATTGCAACCATGATTGCACTGTGACACGAATGGATGGTTATGGTTCCAATTTTGTAGATAAACAACACTTTTAAAAAATGGATATTTAAACCATCAGATCTTCTAACAATCGTGTGTGACAAATGAACAAAAAAATTTGCTCGGATGACAGTAAGCTTTTCCAAAATGCCTGGCAGAGCTTTATTGTGAGAAATGCGACACAGAGGCCTCCACGCAGCACACGGGAGAGTCATTAAGTAAGGCGACTCACGGGTGTAAGAGATGATGGCTCTGGTCCAGTGAGAGCCTGAAAACAGGAACTCACCTGACAGGAATGTATTTGTCATTAATACACCTGTGCTTTTCCCAGCAACACGTGTTTTGGTTTTTACACTGCACAGTTTAAGGTATGATAAAGCACTGACCTTATAATCCTGACCGCCAGATGGCGCAAAATACACATTTTAGCTGGGAGCTGGACATTCACAGGTGGAGTGTAGCATCAGTGGAAAGGCCCCATTGTACAACAACACTACTACTACTACTACTACTACTACTACTACTACTACTAATAATAATAATAATAATAATAATAATAATATTTTTAGTCAATCAAATATATCATACACCACACAGGCTTACAAACTAATGAAATTTTTTTGCATTCTTCAGATCTGGTTAAAGTTAACATATTTTTAAGTCACTGGCACTGCAGAAATGGATCTACAGCACCATTTAAGAAATTTTAATGAACTTCTACCAACTTATTCAAAGCTTGAAATACATGTATGACATTTATTACACATAGATTTAATGAACCCAATCCAAAGAGGAAGTCTGGAAGTCCGCCATTTTGAATGTAAAATAACATTTTGGTACAGTTTTAGTGTTTTCCAGGCATCGCTGGTTTACACATTCACCTGCAAAGTGAGAGGTCACTGGTTAAATTCCATTTGGTTACTTCAGGAACTTTTTGGGGTTACTTCAGGAAGGGACCACTGAAGGAATTTTGACCACTGGACATAAGATTTTCATCTCTAAAAATGTATTTTGTCCAGTCTGTCCCAAACTTCACATGTTTGATGACAGTCTGGCGACGACTACATGCCAACATCTGGTCACACATGGCGCCACAGTTCTCATATAACATTTTAATCAAGACTATGCCACTCTGATTGAAGTATTTCTTGCAAAACAATCATAACCAAACAAAACCTTTCCTGTACTGTAAATGAACAGTAGGACAAAATGATTACTAGTCATTGCGGAAAGCACAATGAATGTTTTTGTTTATATTGTTGGAACGAGGAAAAATTCCCCCACCACAAAAACACAGAAATACTCATGAAAGCAACCTGTAGTGCAAACACGAGGGCTGAATTTATTACTTCCTGCACTAGAAACCTGCCGATGTTACTGATATGGATAGATC